TCCCAAAGAAAAAGCATGTTTCTCACATGACCTTAAGTATTCTGTAGTAAGCTTTTTCAAATTTTCTCTGTATTATTTCTCAAAATCAGCAGGATTTTGAGAAAAACTAGCTTGCCTTCATTTAATATATGTAAATCAATTGCAGCAGCCAATCATAGTAAAAGATGGTGCCAGACTGCAACAAATTGTGCTATTTGACAGTAGATAAAATGCTGACTAAATACGTATGCAGTGATAATAAGTGCTCTACAACACAAATAAAGAAGTATTCAGAATATACTATTTACTGAAAAGTCAGATTGGCTTGAGAATAGCACAGAATGTTACCACTAGAATTTAAGGTAGTCATTTTATTTTCCTCTTTCAGAAATAGCTAATTCAGTTTTGTGAAGTTTGAAACCAATTTTTTTTTTTTTTAAAAAAGAAAAAAAAATCTGGGGTGCCAAAGCATGATACAAAATTACGCATTTATGATTTTAGCCAAGTGCAGTTTTAAGAAGGCTTGCTCGTTTGCATAGACTCTTTTTCACCAGGATACTTAATTCTAATTCATGTCTATGTTTTACCTTGTTAGCAGTCACACTGATATAGAGAATTTTGCTGGACTGGGAACATTCCTTGTTTATTGCACACAAATTGCTTTGATAATACCACACCATTATCCATAAAATATGGTTTGTCACTTTTCTCAAGAATTACAGCTACAGCGGAGAGGAATCGTGTTAGATATGAATGTAACTCTAAAGCAGGAAAAATGGAACATTAAGTTTGAGATCTAATACTGACGTGCAATATCAGGAGTGGTACAGGGATACTGATAATATGTGTATACAAACATGTGACTCATGCATTTTAATTAATTGACTGACAGCAAAAGATGGGAAAGCTTAATCAAGCATAAAGGGATGAGGGCTTCTGACTTTCTCTCAAAAAGAGAAAGGATTAATTTCTCTTTTAATTTAGTGTTAGAATATAGCTAATATCAGCTCTGGACTCTTTGCTGTTTGAAATGTAGACACCTGTAGTTTAAATTAGAAGACATTTATGTTTTTTTAGTGTAAGATAACTCTGAGTGTGTTAAAAATTAAAAAACAATAAAGGATTTTTGATTTTGTTACATATTTATTGTGTGTCTTGTTTTCATTCTCCTTTGTTGTACTTCTGTATTTGAGCTATTTCTGTCAACTTAATTTTAGATTTGTGTATATTTTAAAGATGCTGCTTCTTAGGGAGATTTGCTTTTACAGGAAGTGCAGACAAGCTTCAAAACTAACAGTGCATCTTAGTGTTTGGTTTGCAGAAAGAAGGCACTAGTTAAGGCTAGTTTATCTCAATCAGTAGTCTGCCTTAAATAATTTAAAGCAAACCCATAACCCCTTGTTTATCATAATGAATTGTTAGTGAAGGATCAGGAAAAAAGGAGTAATTCTTAGACTTTTGTGTTTGGCTCTTTAGTACCTGGCTGTTAAAGCACAGTTGCATCTCATGTCTTGGTTCTCTGAAGCATGTATGAGCAGTGATACCTATGGGGGGAAAAAAAAAGAAAAAAAGCAAGATATGGGAAAGAATGGGATTATTCTACAGATTCTTAGTGATGTAGGTTGGAAAGGATCCTCTGGAGGCCTCGACTCAAAGTTGGATTAGGGCCAACTTTGAGCAGTTGCTCAGGGAATTGTCCAGTTAAGTTTTCAGTTACTTCCAAGAATTGAGATTTTACAAATTCCTTATTCTCCTCACTGTTCCAGTGCTGGACTGCCCTCATTTTTTATCTAATATGCAAATAGGCTTTAAACATACTGCATCCTATGACTGTTGCCTTTTGTCCTGTAGTTGTGCAAACTTCTTGTGTAACAAGAAGATTCTGGCCCCATTTTCTCTATACAGTGGCCTTAAGTTGTTGAAGGTAGGTTCATGATTTCTTTAATATAAGTTCTCAATTTCTGTTTAAATTATTTGTGAATCATAGTGTAACCCAGAACTTGTACTCTTTTGCAGAAATCCCATTTCTTTTTTTCATTTGACTTCATTTGTCAGGAGTTGAGACAACTGAGAGTACAGAAATGCTGCAAACAACTCAAGCAGTAACATTTCCTTTGTAGCAAAATTCACTACAAGGGAATGCTTTCTTCTGCACCATATTTACTGAAGCATTTTCATTAGAAGCTAAAGAGGGTCAGCCAATTTTTCTGTTACTTCTGCTTCAACAATTGCTGTTGCTTATTCTGGAAATTAAGAGGATAACCAGAAACCAGTTATTAATCTGATTCACTTTAAATAGGCAAGAGAGGTAGAACTCAGATGGAAAGAACCTTCTATCAAGTTGCAGTTACTCTTTTCATTGCTAGCTGGAAGAGTACCTGCTAGCAAGCTGTTTAAGAATGCAACTTCATTATGAATAGCTGAGAAATCTGTTAACAAAGATGAATTACATTTATTCACTCTGGTTGAAGATGTCTGCTGTATTTTTAAAAATATGTTTGATGAAGGAGTCATTAGTAAAAAATATTTTGCCTTTATGTCTCAGAGTAAGTAGTGAAATCTATGCCAAATATCCTTGCAAAAGAACGTGATTTAGATGACACAGTGACATTCACTGTCTGTAAAGGAGACAGAACAAATCCAGATGGCTGAGGAGCTGTTTAATTCTATTTGCCTTTCTGATTTTCAATTACCTTCATTTAAACAGCTGGAAGGAAAAACTGCACAGGAAACTTCCAAGTGTGTCTGGATGAATTAAATTACTTTGACCATAACAACTGTTTTCTTATCACAAGAGATATGGAAGCAAATACTGATACAGATGTCTTCTGAGTAGTGAAACTGAATGCTAATAGGGACAAAGGAAATATTGTAATTACAAACTAGGTCCTTGAAGTTTGACAGTGAAAAGATTCAAAACCTTTTCCTATCCAGAACAGAGAATCTATGTGGACATTATCCTGTGTTTTCATACTAGGACACTGACCTGTCCTACCCTCCTAAATCTTTAATTGTCTTCCTGAAGGAATGAACTCAGGACTTGCGCAGGTGACTTCAGAGCAGAAGTGACCTGTGACTCATTTCAGTGGCTGATTCAAACCTTTGTCTAGATCTTGAAGGGTGTTGAGAGTCTGTTGTGAACTGAAAAAAAAGAGACTTAATTTAACTTAACGTTAAATTGATTTAACTGAAAGTTGAATCTGAGATTACCATTTTCAGATTACAAAGAGAGCAAAGTAGTTGAACAGATTGCTTGGGATTGCTGTGAATTCCACATCACTGCCACTGTAAACAGCAAGTTAGACAAGTATGTCAGGAATCATTTAAGTAGAGCCTATATTGTCATAAAAGAAAAAGATGACCTCTCAACATCTTTCAACACTTCATATGACTGTGCTTTAAATTTAGATATGCAATTAACATATATGTAATTTGAAGGAGCCATTCTGAGTAGTTTAATTATGCAGTTCTGAAGAATGTCTTTAAGAAGCAACTAATCAGCTGTTGAATACATACTAGACTGGAACAAAGCAAGGAGTTCCACTCTGGGCCTTGTATTTTCTTCAGCTGATACACTTCCTTGTTACTTTCTTTAAAGAACGTTTATAGTATATTTTTTAACTTACTCTCTTTATAATATAATGAGGCTTGCTGCCAAAATTATTTTCCTGTTTGCTGTGTGAGGTGTTCATAATTACAAGCAGTTGCTCCCACTACTTTTTTATGAAAGGAACAGCAGAAATTGCAGCTGTTAGTGGCTCTGCAACTTGGTGGGCTGCTATGAGAGAGAAAAAAACCTTCTAAACCACTTTTAATATGTGGTGCAGAATAATTCCTCTCTGAGTCGTTCCTTATTGTGGTAAACTACTTGCCACCACTGAGAATGCATGCCTCCAATTTCAGTGATTTAAGATAGAAATATGCAGTACTGACGTCTATAGACTGTTGTTCCAAAAATAAGGTCAGTCGCAATGTAACTGGCCTCTGCTGAAGATGCAGGTCACTTTGTGGCCTGATTGAGGTGAATAAGGATAGCAGAAGCTGGTTTAAAATGTAGGCAGAACAATAATTAAAAAACACTGGCACAGGGAAACTTACATAAATCAATAAGACTGGTAGTTTTATGAAACTGTGTTTTGCTTCCAGTAAAATCAGACACAGATTGTTCAGTTTTTGTCATCGTAACTCCACAGATGCAGCGTAAGATGAGGTTATGTCACTTAAATGCAGTGCTGGTGGAGGAACTGACTGCGTTAACATTGAAAGGCATTAATGTAAAGCCAACATAGCACATGAGCAAAGCCTTGTTGGGAAGCTCTTTAGAGTGTATCAAGTATGCCCCAATCTACCTTTGTGTTAGGCTTCCCCCATTCATCTCTTTGGCAGTCCCCTACTGGAGCTGTGATAACTGGTCAACTGCATTTGCAGATAAATACAAGTTTACACAGCTCTCTAAAACTGCGGCTCACAGACCTGAATGAAGACGGTTAGCTTCAGGAGGATGACCTTTCTTCTAGAAAACTCTTCAGGCAGTGTCACTGGTACTCATTAAAAACCAAGTTTCTGTGGTGAAGGCCTACAAGGAGAAAGTGTTACTTCATTTCAGGTACAACGGCTGGTGGTTTACAAGGTTTTCATCCATTTGTAGCATGGGGAGCGTGCAGATGGTACCAGCAGCACTGTGCAGTAGTGTAGCAGAATGCTGGCCCTTCCAGATGGTAGGCACAAGGACCTGCTGATGGCCACCTTTCCTCCACACCACGGCCCGGGAGGTGCTGCACAGTCCCATATGCTGCCGGGAGAGGAGGAGCCCACCGCGGCCAGGCCCGTAGCAGCACAGCTGCCACATACGAAGAGGGCTAACCTCCCAGATGCCTTACCTCCCAGATGCCTTACCCCCCAGATGCCTTTCGCCCTAGATGCCTTTCCCCCTTTCCCAGGAATCATAAATAGCCCTTCCCTCTGCTTCTTCCCCCTCCCGGGGTGAGGGCCCGCTGCTGCACACACCAACAGCCCTTATCAGCTCTGCCACTCGCCTGGCCGGGGAGAGGCGGTGTCCTGGGGAAGGAAAGGGGTTGTGCCAGGGCTCTGCGGGCAAGGGCTCTTCGGCCGCGGTAGGAAAGGGGCCTCACCGAGGGGAAAGCCGGGGGGGGGCGAGGGCTCGGAGACAGTGTTGATAAGGGGTGCCCCCGCCCCACCGGGAGGCAGCGCGACGCCCTCCCCTAGGGCTCCCGTCCCACCCTCCACCCGCGAGGAGGATGCGGAGGCGCCGCGGCCGTGCAGCATCGTGGGGCGTGAAGCCGGCGGCGGGGACATGAGCCCGGGGTCCGGTTGGGCCCTGGGGCCGCTCCTGCTGCTGCTGGCACTGCTGCAGTGCGCAGCGCGGCGGAAGGGTAAGTGCCGCCCCGACCCGGCTCCGCTTGCTCTGGGCTGCGGCGGGACCTCGGGCCGTGAGGGCGGTGTCCTGCGGTCGAGGCGCGAAGGAAACGGAGGCCATGGGCTAGGGGAGTTGCGGCGAAGGGGAGGTGGGCAGACCGGGCGGCAGCGGCACCGGGGCGGCGGCGGGGGGTATGCCTCATGCGCCCGCAGGCGAGAGGGCTGGGCTGGACCCGTTAGGTGGCTTTGGTGCCGGGGTGGAAAATGGCGTGTTTCTGAGGAGAAGTGAGTCGCCAAGTTTGATACGTAGCGGGGGGGTTGGCTGAGGGGGTGGAGAGGGGAGCCCCCGTGTTTTATCTTCTAGAGCAGCAATCTGAGGAGGACACTCACATGGCTTATCGGAAGATTGAGGCATCGTGAGAAGATTGTTCCGTTGGCTGTTTTTAAATTTAGTTTTATGATTACGTGGAATGCTGTGGCGTGCTGACGGGTTGTATTGTCTGTGCTTACTAGGTGCACACACACAAGTATATAAAACCATGGAGAGTTAGGAGGGGGAATCTGTGATGCTTCCCACGAGCCTAACGCACTCAGAAATGTGCTGTGAGGAGAGCCGGGACCCTGCATGCAGAGGGGCAGTGTTACCACACTGATAAATTTTGCCTGTAAAAGAAGCTGGCTAGAGTGTTCATGGGCCTTCTCCTTCCAGTTATGGTTATGTGTTTAAACACCATGTGAAGACAGGCAAAAATTGGTCATATGCACAGGGAGATTTGTATTCTATCAAAACCTCACCATCTTTATTAATCTGAGCTTAGAAGAGTAAAAGAATTCTGTATTGTTGTGCCCAGCATCATGAGACAACATCAGCTTGTGTACTGTTAGTTATTTCTTAAAAATATACAAAGGGTGTAAGCATATGCATCTTTTGTCTACATTCAAGCTGTCTGTTCTGAGGTTTATCATTTGGAAAGCTAGTGCATGTGTGAAGATAACAAAAAGAGCTTTCAGAAAATGGAGGGAAATGCAAACAGTACACTGAAAGTTTGAATACAAATTAGGCAGTAAGTTCACATTTTGTTCTAGTTTCGTGTATATTTATAGCTGTATCAAATTGCGGTAAATTAGGTTGTGTGTCATATGCTGTAAACTGCTTCTAACATAAATTAATTTCTAAAACGATGTTTCTATGTAAGTAATTTTCCTCCTGGCAGCATTCTCAACATTGGTTTTACGAATAGCATTTTTACCATATACATGTTGATGATACAGGTTACAAATAGATTGATAAATAGCCCAAATGTCTATGTGTAAATAATAGAAACAAAATAATAGAATAAATGAAGAAACAGAAATAAAAAATGGGAAATAAAATTAATATGGAGAAAAGATTTGATTATATTGGATAGAACTATTTATTAAATGTCTCACAGGCTTTAGTGACAAGCTGGTTTGCTTATTGTAAAAGGATAGATGAAAAAAAATGTTCAGTGTAGTTATTTTGTTTACTCCTTTATTTTTTTTGTCTTTGAATACTATGGCTGTGGTTTTCCTGCAAGTTTGAAAAAGAGATAGGATTTTATTCTATGTGGTTTAACCTGGGTTGTGTCTCCAGTTTAAATGCTGTTTCAGTTACCAGTTAGTCTGTTAAAAAAACAATTTAAAAAGTAATTTTGTCTTTTTGTTCTTAAAGCAGTTGTAAAGAGATCAGTTCCAGATGTCTGTGCAACTTGCCACGTTCATGCTACATGTCATCAAATTGAAGGAAAAAGTGTCTGCATCTGTAACTATGGATTTGTAGGCAATGGAAGAACCCATTGTCAAGGTAGGCTGCCATTTTTTAAAATGGCAAGAAACCATGTACATTCCTAAAATGTTTTTTTCTCAAGTAATATTACTGAATTGTTCAAAGTGTAGTAAAAGCTTTATCATTTCCTGGCAGAATTTGTGTGGATGCTTTTGACTTTTTTACTTTTTTTCCATCAGCTAACCATGAGCTGTACTGGATACAAATGCTTAACTGTTTTATTCAGTTTCTGCTATATAGTGAAGGATTTTAATTAATTTTGTCTTGATAAATGTAGGGTTGTATCAATTACTTTTAAAATATGTATTGGAATGGTTTATTATTTTTTATCCTAGCTTCAGGAAAAAAAAAAATCAGTATGGTGGCCTTCAGTTTATTATTCTTTTCAACCTATGCATCATTGAGCTGAAAGCTAGACAATAAAACTTACAATTAAAATTGTAAGCACATCTTTTGCTCATTTTTCCAGTTATCTCAGATTACTGGCTAACTGAAAATTAATCAGTTGAATGTCTGTTCTTAATAACAGTGTGCATATATGCACATTTCTTAAGGGCGGATGTCTTGTTACATGGAAAGTGGTGTTTAGCGTTTTTTTATTACTGTAGCTGATGGTGTCCTTTTAATACTATCTTGTACGTGAGAAATCAATATGTGAATTAAAGGGTGATGTCAAACATTGTGTCTGAGTGTATGTAATAGTTTACCCCTTTAAGGGAAAGGTCCTCCACCTCTGATCTCTTCCACGAGCAGTGACACCCTCTTGGGCCCTGCACAGAGTTCATTTATGTCATTATTGTGGAAGATGACAAGCTGCATATTTTGCCATGTTAATTCTCTGCCAGTTGAGTGAGTTGGTAAGATCAGCACAAGCTCCATCAGGTGCTGCAGACAGTGCATTATGTAAGGAAAAGCAGAAACAAAGGACACGGCTTTCTGGTTTCAACAGCTCTTAGATCAGCTTAAGCTGTGTCATGAAACTTTCTTCACATCTGTTCCACTTAGGGACAGCAGCCTCTGTTGGTTCAAATGGTCTAGCTTACTAGCAGTGTTTACATCACAGATAACTTGGAAAAATGGTAAGGGGAAGTCTGTTTACCCAAGAATGAGTGAGGAGGGGAGGATACCTTACTTTTCTTAATCTCTGTCTGATGTGTTTTAAATGTGCTGACAGATAAAGATGAATGCCAGATTGGAGCCAGCAAGATCTGTGGAAATCATACACTGTGTCATAATACACACGGAAGCTTTTACTGTGTTTGCCTTGATGGATATCGAGCCTCCAACAACAACAAGACATTTATCCCTAATGATGGCACAAACTGTACAGGTAGACATCACAGAGTCTTGAGCACCAGGAATCCAAAACTATTACAACACAGATCTTTTTTCCTGTCACTTTGGAATTTACTTTTTAAAACTCTATCACAGCACTTTCTGTTCTGCCAACACTTACTTGACAATTAGGTTCTAGCAGCTGTGAACCAGTTCTATTTTGCATTCTTTTCTGTGTTACAAATCATTGCTTTGCAGTCACATTCAAGCAAGAATGTTTCCAAAAGAAACTAGGTTAAAGAAAATAAGATGATACTTATCTTTCCCCCAGAATGCCATATTTGTGTTTAGAGCAGAATATTAGCCAGTTCTGTGTTACAGTAATGAACTGTTGTAACTGATTAAGATATTTGCAGATACGGGATTTTTCTGGGATTGTTGTAGCAGGACATTGGAAAATATTTGTCACGTCAAACAGGAAAAAAAAAATTGAAAGATAGCTAGCTACAAAATTGAGAGTCTTCTCCTTCCAGATGCTGGAATGCTAGGTAATAATACGCCATCAGAAGCTACATAGAACCCTTCACAGATTACTGTATTTGTTTAAACTTGGGTCCTACATTAATTAATTAAAAAAAAAACAAAACAAAACATGTATGCAGTGCATATATTTTTCTCCGATTTTTTAGATGTAGATGAATGTGAGGAGTCTGGGCTGTGTGGTCACAATGCAAAATGTGTGAATACTGAAGGAAGCTACAAGTGTTACTGCAATGATGGTTATAAATTAGAAAATGGAGAGCGTTCTTTTCATCCAGATGGGAATACAGTTTCATGCAGAGGTGAGAGTCTCTGGATGCTGTTTTTACTAGCAGATAAAATCAGATCTTCTGTGATATAGTAATACCTGCTCTGACCTGTGCTTTTAAGTCTGCAGAGCAGAAGCCCTCTGTGGGTTTTGCTTGCTGTATGATTTTCTTTCTTCCTGGGTTCAGTTTGTTCTAATGATGTCTGAATGGTAGAGTTGACAGCAGATATGATTTCTACAGGCTCTCAGAAGTTGATCAGATCTGCAGGGTCAAGGAGGCTTAATAATGCCATGAAGGTGATGTAGTTAGTTTCTGAATAGTAAGGAAGTATGGTATAATCCACTGGTTTATAAAACCACACTGCATTATAATCCACTGGTTTATAAAACCACACTGCATGAAGGGAAAGCGAAGAGAGGATACAGTAACAATAACATAGCAGTTTCACTATTTGTTATGTATTCTGCCAACTGCATAAATAAGCCTTTCTGTTTATCTTGCCATAACAACAACAAAAAAATTATTTTGAAACTTCCTCCTTTCCTCTCTAGTGTAGGTTTTCATAGATGCAAAGTGCTAGCAGTGAAAGCTGTAGCTGTCACAGTATTTAATGAAGCTGGGCATCCCAGGCTCACATGCTTCTGTTGTATCCAGCTCTCATTTCTGAATTATTGTAAGAACCATCAGTAAAGCTCACTGTCTGTAGCTTGTCCAGTTTTTCCAACTGGACTGTTCCACTTCATTTTGGCAAAGGTGCTGACAGCCCTGCTTATCTCACCAACTTCCCCCTCCACATGCTGTGGTAAAGAAGTGCTGACTGTGTTGCTTGCGGAATTGGACAAGGAAGCCCTGTCACAGACATGAATGTAGCTTTTTTTTATGCAGGTTGGTTCAGTGAAGTGGATCAATTCAGGGGCAGACTGTTTAATTTCAGCCTGTGTGCAGTGCTTCGCTTTTCCCAGGCACAGGGAAATGAAACTCCACATTGGGGCCTTAAATTTTCATCTGGTGTTGAAGGATTATTTATCCATTGCTGTAGTGAGAGTAGCACACACAGAGCACTATCTCACTGTAGTGTCTCCTCTTTGGTGTTGCGAATGACACCAGCTGTATGTTAGTAAAGGTGTAGCTGAATACACGGATCACTGTGTTTCTCCAGCTGTGGCCAGTAAAAGTTTTCTGCTCTAATCTTGTACCTCTTTGGCAACCTCTCAGATTCATCTGATGGGGCATATTTTATGACGTGACCATCCAATTCAGCTCATTTTAAAATGGTCATGTGTTGTGATTTTCATACTGTGTGATCTTCTAACACAGTCTCTTTGCAGAAATTGGATGTGGTTCCCCTCCTAAAATGAAGCATGGCTACGTTGTGGGGAACTACAGCTTGCTACCAGGAAGTGCGGTTCATTATGAATGTAAAGAAGGGTTTTACAGCAACGAGGGGAAGTTCTCATATTGCACTGCAAATGAAACTTGGGAACCTGCCACTTTAAGCTGTAAAGGTGAAAAGAGTCTTAAGTCGTTCTTAAATTCTTCATTAAGCTGGTTTATGCATGGGGAAGTGTGTTCGTGAAAGATAGTAGACTGTTTCCTTGGTCCAAAGGATAATTATTTCTCAAGATATCGCTATTTGCAAAAAACAAGAAAAAGAAAGAAAGAAAAGGGCAGGTTATAAAACGGTGTTACCTCTTCCTATTAGTGAGTGACATTTTTGTTACTGGTCCTTCCACTTTTACAGACACTGCAGTGTATCCTTCGACCTGTGAACCAAGGCGTAGAAAACAAGTTGACTTCTGTTCTGTAGCCTTTTCTTTCAGGGAACAAGACAGTGAGTTAGAAGGCATTAGTGACCTCTCATGAAATGATCAATTTTTATGACAGCTTATGAAGTTTTTCCAGAAGGTTGGCTGTAGATACAAAAGAGAGGCGTCATACCACCTTTCATCCCTGGGTAGCCTTCATGATTTTAAGAGCATTTGTGCATGAGCAATTGGTTTTACATCTCTGAAGTGTTAAGATTCCTGAGAGTGTCTTTAAAACTTCCACTTGCTTTGGTGTTCTAACTGCCCATTTTGTTGAAATATTTGCTCCTTACATGTGCAGAATTTTATGTTCCTGTGAGGAGTTACTAACTCTGTATATTAGTTAAATGACACTTGGAAGTGCTAGCTAATGGAAGTTACACAGTGTATAACAGTTCTATAGGGCAGAATGTCATCCTGAAAATCATCACGTAGTGGGGAGAGTTCCTTCTTCCTTTCCTCAAGATACAAAAGCCCTCTTGGTTTCTCATTCTTTCATGTTTCTTTTGTTTGTGTGTTTTCTTTGAGAGAGGATAGAAATGTAATGTTTTAATGTGTGTCTGTGGGAAGTGACAAGCTTATTTCTCATTTGTGTTGCAAGCTCTTTTCCTGGATTTCAGTTAGGACTTCTCTTTTCGTAAAACTAGCAAGTCTGAATATTTATTTATTTATTTATTTATTTTAAAATATTAGTAAAGGCACCTTTAAATAATTCTTTAAATTCCGAGAATGTCCCTGGTAAGTCTTTATCACTTATTTTTCTCCTGGCCAAGTGTAACGTCATCCTTTTTATGAAAATCAGTAAGTGTGTCTTTTGTCTTCTTTCGTATGGTAATTTAGGACTTTATTTATGTAGTCATGATGAAACTGGCCATTGAAGGTAGGTCAGACTTGGTAAAATGTGTGACCTAACATCAGGGTACTGTAAATGGAGCAGATCCTCTTTTTTTGTTTAAATACAAGTGTATGGCTATACTCTGTCTTTGAAGGTTATAGCTTTCTTTGAGTATTAATAAAGGAATTGTTTTGAGATGGTAAGTCAGATAGCTTAATGGGAAGGTGTGATGTGTGTGAAGAGGTGTAGTTAACATGACACAGTCCTCACATTCAAGTTTGACATGAAAGCGTTTTAGATGGTGGCTTACCTTAGAAAATGGACAGCATATCAAACAAGCTGCTTTTTTGTGCTACTTGACTTCTTTGTTTTAGGCACTTGTAAATGACAGCTCTGCATGTTTGTGGGTAGAGCAACTATTACAACACATTTTGAACAGATGTAGACTTTTGGTTTAACAGGAAGCTTTTATGTTGTATGTTGTAAACTTGTGTGGTTTTGCATTTCTCCAGTCCTTGTGCACTTTTAAAAATTTTGTCATCCTAAAGGCAGTTTCTGCTCATCTGCCTCCCTCTGACTGTTGTTCGCTGCAAATGGTATAGAACCAGCTTGCCATCTGTAATCAGGTTTGTAAAAGCAGGAGAATCCTAACTTCTTGTTCTTAAAAAAGACGTTTTCAGTATACTAGCAGCTAAGCTGAGGAGAGAGTCACAGATTTAGCATGCCATTCTGAGACAAAAGCAGAAGGAAGTTATTTTATATGGAAGCAGCTCTGGAGTAGCTAGGAGTAGCTACAGCACTCTTGGTCACAGTGGGGATGTCACAGAGGGCATCTGGGGAGTGTTAAATTAACACAGAACAGGGTTAGTTGGTAACAATGAAAGAAATACGGGAGTGCAGCTGTCACTGCTTCTGCTGCTTGAATTAAGTTTATCTTCCTCTTTCTTCCTCTTTCTAGGTGTGGACTGTGGGATTCCACCCTCTGTTTTAAATGCACATCCAGCATCTGTAAGTGGGACTACATATGGAAGTGAAGTTACTTACAATTGTGTTCATGGTTACTTTATGGCAAGTGGCAATCAGACTGCAGTCTGCAATGCCAAAGGACAGTGGGATGGTATTGATCTGGTGTGCAAAGGTAAATCAAATCTGCCTTCAGATTTACTTAGCATAGATACTGTTTCAGACACCAAAATAAATAGCAGTTGTCAGTTAGAGACATCCTCTTTGGACAAGTCAGAAGACTGCTTCTGGCATGTTCAGTCACAAAACAGAAGCCACATATTAAACAGTATGTTTGTTGTTTTTTTTTTTTTTAACCTGTGTTGCTAATGAGGTTGCAATAAATTGTTAAAAGTTACCACTCTAGGGACTAAATCCCAGTGCATGTCAGACATCAGGATTAACATGAGATGAAAATCTATCCTAAATTGCTGCCATTTTTTTTAGCTCAGTATCTACTCTGTGGTTGAAGCCACTACATGGAAATTGAACCACTATTAGCAGTCATCATCCCTAAAAAATTCCATATTCAGACAGTTTCCAGTTGCAACCTGTGATTGCTCAAGCAAGCTATTGTTACTTGACATGAGTCCTAAATCCTTTATGTTACTATGATCTAGAAGAATGTAGCCCAACAAGTTTCTTGATGAGAAGAAGCTCAAAGGTACATTTAAAAGTGAGTTATTTTGCCCAACAATATTTCCACTGTATTTTTACTCTGATCTGATACTTTAACTAATGTGACCTCAGGATCGTTAGTCTTTAGTCAGTTTTTATATTGACACAACTTCACTTTTCCCTTCGCTGGGTGCTTAATATCTTTTCAACTTGATCCAGCAGGGTCAAGTCTTCCATTTATTGCAATCAAATGTAGTGACTTTTTTTGAATGTGCAATGTGTATGTTACAACCGCTCTCTACTTTTAGAATCTTCTCTAATATTCTTATTCTGGGTCACCAGTCCAAATGGAAGGTTCACTATGTTACACAGAAACACATTTCTGCTTTCCAGTCTAATTAGAGGGTGGCTTTGGGCAGATAGCTGGAATTAAGCAGCAGTAATCTTTTTATCTCATCACATACTGTCCTTCTAGAATTTAAGCATGCTCTTTGCGTGTGCATTTATTATTCTAAAGCTTCTTCTGATGTTTTATAATAGATACATATGTTCATACATTGGTGTATGAAAAGGGAGGTAGTCATGACGGTGGATGTATTACCTGTTGCAAAACATATGTTTACTTTTAAAGGTTGTACATGTCACAATTATAAAATTTGTTTATGTCTTTTTTTCCTCTTTTTTGAGTTAAATTTCAGAATTGCTTACGATTATTTATTAAACATTTTTAAATGCACAGCATATAAGCTATAATGAAGGTAAGATTTTAATTCTTACATTGTTTACTTCTTATAAGTTAAGTGATGCAGAATCTTTTATTGGGGTGCCATGTTCTCTGTGGATTTGGGAATTTGAACCCTAAACAATATTTGTCCATTTGCTTGTTCTTCACTCTTTATTCTTTTTTGTTTCCTCATTTTATTATGAAGGCCTTGGAAACAGCTGAGCAAATTTATTGATTTATAAGTGCATTATCCCAGCTTTCTAGTTACCTCTAAAGTGGTCTGACTAACCCCCCAAATATGCCCCCATAGGTGTTCTTTCTCATGTCTGTAGCAGCTTCTCCTGTTTTCCAATGCTTGAATTAAATCCACTGGCAAAGGATCAGTGGATTCTGTTCTTGATGCTGTTCTTCCATGTTACTACTTGTGTCATTTTTCAGATTTGTTGTTACTCATGGTAGGCAAAATAAAGGAATAAATAGCATGTGGGGGCTAAAAGAATGTTATGGGATGATAGATGTATTAGTAAAAATTTTCTTAGAGATCTTTGTTCTCCATTTCTAAACAGGTCACTGTTCTATTTTATGGCTCATCTTGAAGGATGAATGCCCCACCCTACTGGAAATTCTGCACTTACAAAATTCAGGGTTCTAAAGGGCTGGCCTGGCTTCTAGAAGTCACAAGAAGTGAAAACGAGTGAAGCGTTACTTGTTGGGACAATTCATCTCTCTTCCTTAAACACTTTGATATGCCATACTTGTTTTAATTTTCTGGTTTTGTTACCCTCTTTTATTCTGTTCCAGAAATAGACTGTGGCAAACCTTTGCTGATTCCACATACAGAAATGACGTGGGACAACTCTACCACCCTAAGGAGCAGAGTGTACTATCAGTGTAAAGAAGGATATTATTCTAATGGAGGCAGGAATTTTTCAGAATGCACAATAGATCAGTCGTGGGAGAATATTACATTCGTATGCAAAGGTACATATTATGTAGGAGGCTGGTGTGGGGTATGCTCTTTATATATTTTCACATTCCTGTTCTGAAGGTAGGAACAGGAGGAAGGATGAAGGCAAGAAATCCCTGCCTAGTTTACCATGTAGGGCATGTGGTGGTACTTTTGTATGGAAAGGTCACAGAAGAGAATGTTAACTGTGCAACATTTTCTAGTAGATGCCACAGATCTTTCTCTAGTTGTCTCCTTTTTATTTCAAATTGAAAGGGGCTAATGGAATTGGAGTTAGACTGCTGCACTGAGAATCTTGAACTTTAAAAGCCAGGGGAACTATATGAGCAGAAGACATTTAATAATATTTTGTTGTGGGTCTAATACTGTGAAGTGCACTGTGATGAAAGTAGGGGCAATGGAATTCAAAACTCCTTTCTTCCCCCCCCCCCCCTTCTCTCATAATGTCCTAAGTAAAATTTGCTCAAGGATGCCTTTCCAGCATCCAGTTGTCTGAATTTCAGCCCAGAAGGATTTTCTTAGAAAAGAATGAGTTCTGAGAAGGGAGATCTGTAATGAAGGTGGTGTCATACTGTGGGCTTGGAAACAGGATATACTAACATTTTAATAACAGCAAAAAAATAGCAGATGTTTTGGACTATGTCTGTTGGGCTCCTTAGTGTTCTTCCCTATCCTTAGAAAGAGATGTCACAGGTCATAGATCACTGTCCATCTCTTGTTCTTAAGTAGCAGTGTTGTCTTTTGCAGATGGCAGTGTTTATGTAGCTTTGTTATAGCCACATGCTTTTCAAAAGGACTGGAAGTGTGTCTTTGACTGCTACAACTTCACAGACAAAGCCTTTACACAAAGATTTGCTGCTTGATACCTCTCTTGCCTCACTTGATGTCTTCAGCATTCACTGCGAATATAACACATGACATCAAATAAAATGGGCATGCAGAAAAGAAGTTCTCTCACTTTTGACAGAGCCCTAATAAAAACGTTACTGCTGTTGTTAGAGGGCAGAATTCGTATTTCATTTAGACAATTTGCATAGCTGTACTTTATGAATTGGCTTTGAAGCCAGCATTGTGTAGAGTGGCTAAGTTGGTCAGGTGTGTCAGTCTTTGTAATGCTGAGAGTTTGGTCTTGAGCACTCTGAAGCTTAGAAGGGCTTCTAAGCAGAGGACTTCTGCAGACTGCATTCACAGGATTTCAGCGAGACCTTTGCCAGAGGCAAAAATGTATACACCAGCTCTAGCTGTTGGATCAAAGGCCCAAAAGAGTTATGGGCAAAGAGAATGGGAAAAAAAACCTTTAAAGAACAGCCTAACTAGTCCAGGCTCCTATTTAAAAAAAACCAAAACACAAACCACGAAATATTATGAATAGGAAATTAGCAGCAAGGTCTTCAACTTTTTAATTTCTACATTTTTTACACTTACTAGAGGAAAAAAATGACTTTCAAATGAAACGACATTTCTGTTTCAGTAATGATGTGTTTCAGATGTATGTAATCTTAAGGGTGTGTGTAATTAATCAGTAATTCCTATTAAAATAAAAGAAAATCATGTACCATTCCAAAATAACTTAGGATAGAGCTGGAAAACTGTTTGTCTTCCTACTGCCTGAGAAATCTCATTAGAAGCAAAGAAGTTGAGAAATTCCCCTGAGCATGTTCTCTTTGACAAATAATCACTTCTTTGTTTCTTAAGCAGGGATTGCTATGGAATGCCCTTTATTTGTGTTGTCTGTTGCATTGTCTGTTGGGGTATATAGCATGTGTGTATATGTATGCAAGTACATTTAGTAGTATCTGGTTTATATGTTTCAAAATTGCTTAACAAAATTAATTTTACTGAGAGATGCTGACTGGATTAGTGAAGTCTGGCAATAGTCAGCTGAATAGCAATCTTCCTTTCCCAGCCCTTGATCTGTATACATAAGCTTAAGACACTAAAGTGCAGAGAACATACCAACAATTAAATGCCTGCTGTGCAGTACGCTCAACATGTGAGTCTGGGCATTCTCTATAGCTTGTCTTGGAAGAACTTCTGTTTCTCCTGTGGAGCAGGAATGTATGGTTTATTTTATTTTCATTTTCAGAAATGGTGTGATATTATTTCAGGCACTTACTGTGTTGACCTCTGGTGAGTTTTCATGGTAAACCTTAGAAGTTTTTTACAGAGTGGAAAAATTATCATCTTATAGGAATAACGTTTCAGTTTGCTTCAAAGGAGGGCTCTGACTATAAAGCACTGTAGCATGAAATGGTGGAGTGCAAGGTAGTCTGACACAGTAAGATAGTTTTTCCCATTGTGCATTTCAGAGGAGAAAATGTTAACTTGAGCTTTTTTGTTAGTAATACTTACCTTACCAAGTGAGATTGTTCTGGATGTGATGTCTCGAAATGAGACATCAGGTAACCCAAGACTTAGAGTTGCTTTTCATAGAAAAGAAAAGTATGAAGTCTTCCCACTCATGTTTTACTTTTTGAGTGAATTCTGGCCATAAGATTGATCAATCAATCAGTCTGTCTGTCTGTCTGTCTGTCTATGTATCTATTTATTATGGCTGTAAGAAGGCCAGAAAAAAGGTGATCTGTGCCTTGGCTGTCTGATGCTTGTTCCCAACAAGCTGAAGTGAAGTATATGTATACTGTGTATGTGCATGCATGTAAACACACACCCACACATCTATACAGTTCTTGAGAACTTGTATCTTGGGCATCCAGAGAAAGTTAAGATGAATTATGGTGAATAAGGTGCTTATGAGGTTGCCTTGCTCTTAATACCAGGTACTTTTTCCAATCTTCTTCAGTTACAAAGGTGTCAGTTCCTGCACAAAGGGAACAGTGTGTCTGATGCTTTTTCTATGTTAATTGGACAATTGTTAGGGATTTTGTAGGGAAACATTCTCTTCACCTACTACAGCTCTCTTCATCCTGTTCGCAGAGTCCTCCCTTCTACGATTCATCAAGCTTTTTTGAATTTCCCAGTCCCAAGTCCTAGAGATATTCTTGTCAGGAAGAGCATTTTCACTGCATCTTAAACCATGACATCTATCCTTTCTGTAACAATTGGCTGTAATCCAGCTATAAGCACACAGGCTGGGTTGGCTGCTGCTCATTATTCTGATCCTAGAAGACTCTTTCTCTAGAAAACTCCTCTACATCTCTTGTCTTTGGAGGTTGCTAGTATTCTGTTTGTTCACCTTATTTTTATCCAAGGAGAAGAAAATACAAGTCTGGATTAAAGAACAACTTTCAGTATTTAAATAAGTCTTCAGTACCACAATTCACTGTTATTAGAAATGCATTCATTAAAGTGGTTTTGGTGTGTTAAGTGAAACACTGTCCTTGCAAAAGAAGCAACTATTGCACATGGGTGGAAAAAGTCCATGGGTATGTAAAACAGCTGGAGGGAGGGAGTTAATCTGGCCTGCATAGAAAAGTAATGCACATTATTAGTAAAACATTCCAAAACTCAAGTGGGAGGAAGCAGCTGTTGTAGAGAACAGGGGAAATTGACCTTTGTTTCCCTTTGATGCTGAGTATGACAGCATGGCAATCTTACTGATAGGTTCTAAGAGCCTTCCAAAGTCATGTTAGGCAGTAAGGGCGGTAAGCACTTGAAAACATTGCAGAAGAGGAAAATAATACTGTGAAAATAATTTAAAAGAGGCCTTGAAAAAATCAAAAGTGAAATCTGAATCCAGTCTGGAATAAATGGAGCATATTCATCCATTAGGTGTAATTTAACTGTAGACCTACAGCAAAGGCGATTTCCATGCAGCTGAGAGGGTCTCATTGCTTTCTTTTCAATACACAGTTGTTTTCCCTTTGCTTTCACTTTCCCTTCTTCTGCAGTGCTTTATCCCTATTCCCAATGGCAGATTTCCTCTCTAGCTGGAATTCTGTGGGATGTCAGTTTTTACTCTCTTGTACAATCATTACCTGTACAGTAAGAGATGATACAGAAAGGCAGCTGGAATGTTTCGGGGGGGGGCAGTATCAGTAATTTCCTCACAACAATGAATGAGTAACTGTCACTGTCCTAATTTCTATTCCCAGCTGTAGTGTGAGTAATTCATGTCAACAGTTATGAGTTTAATGGAAAAGCTGTCACTTGCATCTGTTGGCACTGATTCAAAACCCATGGTCCTGTAGGAATAAGAACCCCGCCAAACAATTAGGATAATTATAGTCATCAGTGAAAAGAATCTTGTAAAGTTCTTGGAAAGGCCTAATTTGATACGTTAAATCCAGACATCGGGTAATCTAGTAATTTCTTTAATTGCCTGGAAAAACAGGTGTATTCTGTGTTATGGGAGGTGCTGCTTCTTAAAGTGATGAAACCAGTGACAGTTAAAACAAATAAAAAATTATAGCTTTTTGCAGGGCTTATTTAGGCTTTTGTTTATTTGTTTTGTTTGAAACCAGTTTAATAATTACCAAGTTTGTGATGACAAATAGTAATCTTGGGATTCTCCTTCAATTTGGGAGTAGATCATATGCATCTCTAATCCCATCATATCTAATCCTGGCTAGTCTGACACCCTTGATTGGTACATCTTTCCTTTGTAAGTGTGCTCACAATTGCATCTCTTGTGTTTTTTGTCAGTCTGGTTCAGTGCATGAATTACTCTGCTCCTGGTTGTCTCCTGGTAACATTTTTTGACCAAAGGAAGTAATAAATCGTTAGCTATCTGTCTGCTCCGTCCTGAATGACTGTCTGCTTGCAGCTTTGCTGTTTCTTTGTGGATTTCTTCTGTGTAAAGTTTGGGGCTGAAGGTGAAAACCTGCTGAAATTTTACAATCCTAGTTAAAATGGAAGCAAGTATGTTACTCAAAATGTGAAAAAAAAATCATAAAAACTTACCATGCTGCCTTAAAAGGTATGAATACTGAAGATACGTGTTTGTAAAATAAACTCCATGTGTGTTTGCAAAAGCTCCTGTGCAAGAGGAATTTGCCTGTGTGCTATGGAACAGGTGCCTTGAAACAATCTGGACAGAAGTTGTCTTTAAAATATTGTTTGCACTTGTTTCATTTCTCTATCTGAACATAAGTGTGGTACATGTTAATAGCAGATGGCATTTGCAGCATCATTCACAGTTTTCACAGAATTGAACAGGAAAAACATACAAAAAAGCTAATATTTGGATTTTATTTTTTCCTAAATTGCATGTATGTGTGGGGATTGGTGGGAAGAGATTAGTAAATGAATTTGTACATGTGGATGCTCTTTTAGCTACTTGCAGAAGATGAAATGTTAGATTTGAGCTGATTCTATCTGATTTCTGATAAATACCATCTTCCCATGCAAGTCCAGAAATACTTCACTGATAAGATGTATCTCAAGCTGAGGTCAGTTGTAGTTAAGGGCTCTTTCAATTGAGGACTGATGGATTGTATATGTGAAAGAAGTCATGTGGTTTTAAACATAAAGTTTAAACGTAAAGTTCTCTCTGAGTTAAGGTTTAAACATAAAGTTCTCTCTGAGTTCAGGTTTATTTCTGAATCAGCAAATAATAACACTGAGTACTAGGACCTAAACTTGCAGAGGATAAGTGAAGGATTAAGGTTGGTCTTCCTAGAACAGGGTTAAGGCAGAAGAGCGTAACACTACAGGCATTAATGCACTGGCTGTAATTACTATGATTTTCCCACTTGCTCATGCATAGAGAGAACCCCTCCTTCCTAGCAGAGCTTTTAACGGTGAAGTAAAGAAGACTGAGATGTCCACTCTGTGTTTTCCTTTTTAGAAATAATCTCTTTGGTATTCTTAACATCAACTTTCTTAACATTGTCGTCCTCTAGTGGTCACTGAATCCCTTTGACGCTCACTTTTTGTATTCTCCCATTTGTGTTCTGTTTCCCAGTACCTGTCTTTCCTCGCTATTTGCATCTCTGTACCCTCTCCCAAATTTGCCTTTCAGTATTTGACTCCTCCAGGATCTTTTTACAGCCTTCTGTTCTGGACTCCAGCCATTTGCATGTTGTTTCTAGGACCTTATCCCTTGGCATGTGAAGGAGATTGAGGTTAACGTGGAGGTCTGTGGAGCAGCAGTGACATCCAGTGGTCTTCTCGCTTAATCAAAAGATGAAATTTCTAGTGCTGAAGTATGGGTAAATTGAGGGTCTTCAGTCCTCCCATCTCATTTCTGAGTCTGAGTGAAAGCTCTTGATCAAAATCAGGTATGTTGAAGACTCAGCTGCTGAGGCCAGGCAGGTACAGAGAGTTCCTAGGCTCTGTAAGTCCCTGGTACTGTTAGATTTCACAGTAGAATTAAACTGTCAGAAAACCTGGGGCCCTTTAGGTGCGAAAATAGTTCTTTCAGAGATACTTTTGTGCTGTTACTGGGTACTGTGTTTAATCTATTGGGATTAGTGTTAAACCAGACACTTACTGTACATTTGATTATCCCTAGTGTATGATCAGTAAGAGTCAGGGAGAGAAAGCAGGCTCCTTAGAAAGTCGATAATGTTACAGTGTTTGCTCTGTGCATGCTTTTCATCCTCTTTCACTCCTCCCCTTTTAGAGTGGAAACTTCTGAGGAAAAGTCTGCCAGGTATTATTTGGATGTATAGTAATCGCATGGTGGCCTTACCCTTCTGAAAGTTCAGAAGGCATAACAGAAAAAGTGATGTAGATACAGAAAAAATTCTGTTAGTTCCTTCCAGGGAGACCACTTTGTAAGATTTCTTTCCTTGTCTTAATACATGGCATAATCACTTTTTTGTTGTTTGCTGCTTTCTTTTTCTTTATTTTTTTTTTTTCCCCATGAGTAGTTTATAAACTCATGAATCAAGTGCCTGATTTTCTTGCTGGGCAGTCTCAGAGATTACTTTTCTGGTTATGCATTTTGATTCAGATCTCATGGCTATGCAGACTTCTCCCTCTGGCTGTGGTCTGATGAGTTATTTTTGCCATCCAGTCTTTCAATAAAAATGTATCTGATTTAAAGAATACATCTGATGACAGCAGTGAGGAAACTGCCTAAAAAAGAACAGATGAGTTGATCTACCTGGCTGTGCTTTTTCTGTAAGGCATAAGCCAACTTTTCAGAGTGTAAATTAACACAGGTTTGTTGAGGGATGTATCTCTGGTTGCTACAACTCTACTCCACACAGGCTTAATTCTGTGGACTTCATTCTTTTTATCTAATGTTTGTTCTGAAAAGTTATTTTATAAACTCGTGAATCAAGTGCCTGATTTTCTTGCTGGGCAGTCTCAGAGATTACTTTTCTGGTTATGCATTTTGATTCAGATCTCATGGCTATGCAGACTTCTCTCTCTGGCTGTGATCTAATGAGTTAATTTTGCCATCCAGTCTCTCAATAAAAATGTATCTGATTTAAGAACACAACAGCTGAACATGCTTTTTTTGCTCTGTGTTGGTACAGAAGTCTTAATACTATGGAGTTTCTAGACATCACTGTGAAACATAATAATAAGTATCATTTAGAGACATCTAATCACACAGCCATGTGTGTGGAAATTTGTTCTGAAGGACATGCAGATTAATCCCTTCTGTTTCTAGAAGAGGAAGGTTTCAATAGCATTTCCATATTTAACCACAGTTTGGCGTTGGGGTAACAACAGGTCTAGGGAGTGGGGCATCTATTTTTTGAACATGTGGAGAGGGAGATATTATTAGAAAACAGTTTATGATGTTTTTTATAAAAAAAAGTGCTGCAAAATACTTAAGCAGTTACACTTTAGTTCTGAATGAACTGCCTGTATGTAGGAATTTTGGAGACTATTGATGTATTGATTTATTTCAGTGACGGTGTCTTGTCCATGTGCTCCATGTGAAATGGCGATTGAAGTTTACATACAGAGGAACGAGTGCCCTGAACTGTGCTTGCTTTTACAGCAGGACATTACTCCCAAGTATTGAGTGAATGTTTCTCAAGTATCTACCAAGGCTGTCATGTAAAATCCCTTAATTTTTTTCAGCAGCTAGTAAGGGCTTTTTAGCTTGGAGTGTGTATGAGGTTAGATTTGTATGACCCTGGTCTTGTAGTGGAAATAATAAGAAAATATGGTAGTAGGGCAAAGGAATGAATGTTTGAAGGCTGGTGAAAGAAAGAAGAGGAGCAAATACATTTATTGTCAGTCTGAATTGTGACCAGAAGAAGATTTGTAAGAACAAGCTCTGGGGGGATTCTTCATTACCTTGTCATGTGAAGGCAACTGCTCTGTCTGATGACAGCAGTGAGAGAATTGCCTGAAAAAAACATATGAGTTGATCTGCGTGGCTGTGTTTTTTCTGTGAGCCATAAGCCAGCTCTTCAGAGGTTTGTTGAAGGATGTAGCTCTGGTTTCTACAACTATACTCCACACATGCTTAATTCTGTGGGCTTCATTCTTTTAATCTAGCGTTTGTTCTGAAAAGCGTTTCACTGTGACTATGTTATATAATTTTATTTATAATAAAACAATGAAAAATGTTGACATCTTTTAAAAAAACAACCCAAACAGATAAGGAACCAAAGACATTAATTCAGCTACAAAAAGCTCTTTTCCAGTCTTACATAGAAGCTTTCTTGGACAGCTTTGATGCAGGTTGTTGTATTTAGAAGAGCATTTTTTTAAGTTTGTTGGCTTATAGGCAGGCTCTTAGACAGCTCTTTTAAATCTACACTACTTTTTTTATTTGCTGTTTAATGAGCCTTTTAATCCATGAGATCCAGTGGTCTACAAAGTCTTCAAGTTGACTTGTGAGTGGTTCATTCTTTAGAAGACAGATCATTGCATATCAAGAGATCCAGTCTCTGGCACACAGGTTCAACGAGAATACAGAATGGGTGGCAGTAGTGGAAGTGGGGTATTGTTTATTGTTCTTCATTTCAGGTGGTGTAATGCTGTCATAAGCAACATCAGCCAGAACTGTTGGAATACCTGTACGTGGTGCAAGTTCAGTGTATTATGCCTAGGAGGAAAGTATGAAGCAGAGCAAAATGTGTTTTCTCATTGACTATTTTGTCTGCATTGGTCACGTGGTATGAAAGATTCTAGTCTTCAGCATATGCTGAAAATCCTTGTGCAAGAAGCAGCACTGTTGTATATGTATGCTTTTATATAACAGAACATATTAGTGGTCTGATAGAGTTAATGAGCTTATTGCTTTGCTAAGAGGAAATTGTAATGTAGTTTTAATGTCCTCTTCAAAGTCATTAGGATTGAAATGTTCTACTAAAATGCAAGCCTAGCAAAATATTTTGTCTTCACTGGTCGGTAGTTTACTTAATGCTGATTCTGTGTTTAAGGACTTTGCAGTCATTTGTTTGGAACATACTTCTTCAGTTCGCCTTGTATTTTAATTTTAGCAGCTGACACACTTAAGGTAAAAATTGCTACCTACCTTCTGTCTGCGTCATTTTTTTTTTTTTTCAAGCGTGAAAAAGACCCCCACAAAAACAAACCAACAATTTCCCTCCTCCCCCAAACAGAGAAAAAGAAATAAACAATTGCTTCAAACATGTTAAGATTTGCATGAGAAATAACTTTTCATTCCATGTTCATGTTTTTGCTCACAGAGGAGGAATTATTCAGTAATTTGTCCATATTCAATGAAACGTGTGTGAAGTGGGAAAGGAAAACTGGAATACTAGGAGTGCAGAAAACATACACAGTAAGTGGGGCAGTATTTGAGTTTGGGAGTAGCTTTGTCCTGGTTAATTCTGGTGAGGCAGCAGTGGAGATTAGTTTTGTGGCTTTCTTTAATTGTTTCTCTTGCTCTTCCTTAGAAACCTAAAAGTGTTAGGAAAGAAACAAGTAGGTATCCTAAAGTTAGGTGAAAAACTCAAAAGTAAATCACCTAAATATCTGCTTGAAAGTATCTAAGAAGTGTTTCAGCACAACTTTGTTTTAGCGAAATTCTGTTGTAGAGCTCAAGGTCACATTGACATAGAAAACATTGCAAAACCTGGGCTCTGTCCCCCTCTGTGATGCAAACATTTCAAGTAAACAGTGTATCTATCACTTGCAGATACTGGATGTAAGTTGTTTTAGAAATGCAGGGTATACTGAAATACCATACTTTGCTCAAGAGGTTCAACTATCTTTTATTTGGACATTTTGGAACTGTTTTCCATGGAAATAGGAAACAACCTTGGTAACTATTTTTTACCCCATTTATAAACATAAGAATAAAAGTTAAGGTATAAATTCTCAGAAACAAATAGTTCAATCATTGTTGACAAAAGCCAGTGCAACATAAGAATTAGTATGTTTTGAGAATGACAAGATCCCAAGAAAGGTTGGGTTGGTTTTTTTGTTTTTCTGGTGGGGTTTTTTTGTGTGTTGTTTTGGGGGCTTTCTTTGTTTGTTTGTTTGTAGTTTTGGTGTGGGCTTTTTTTGTTTTAGTTTAGTTTTGTTCTGTTTGTTTTTTTTTTTAAGTGTACAAGTAGGGGGCAAAAGAAAAAGGATTTCCAGGATAGGGAAAATACTAAGGTTGAGTAATAATTTTGGAAAACAATCTGTCTTTCTCTTCCGGTGTTAAAATTTATTTTTAGTTTCTGTGCCTTTATGAGGGACTGCTGAGATGGAAAAGCCAAATTCCCAATTGGCCTAATGGTTCAAAAGTAGAGCTTTTCATATACCAGTGGCAACTGGCAAGCTGTGTATCTCTGATATAATGTGCTCTGTGCACATGCTTTTTCCTGAATTCAGCTATCTGCAGGATGCTTCACAATAGTGAAAACTGCGTATCAGTTTGTAGGCAGTACAAACTTATTAGTACAAACAAGTATTAGTTTGCACGTAGGTAGGCATAGGATGCATGCAGTAAAGTTCAGAACACAGTCTGGACCTGGACTGCCTTGAGCTCAACTAGATGAGTTAAGGATTAATTTATTAAGCCATCTTGTTGTACCAAAACAGTTAATCACAAGCTTTTTTTGTTTTTTGATTTTTTTTTTTTAATTGAGCTGATACTCTAAATCGGATGTAATCCTAGGTTCTCAAGGCTTAATTGAACTAGTATTCTGAATTTTGGAGAGCCACAACCACTTGTACCATCGTTTTTGTTAATCCTTCAATAGTTTCACATACTGGGCCAGAGATGGGATGAGAAGATGTTCTCAGAAGATGTGGTATTTAACATCACGACAAATGAAGATAATCCAAAGGTGTGTTTAGATCTCGACTCTGGCAGTAACTACGTGGTGAATATTACTACAATTTCTTCCACAGACATCCCTGTCTCAGTTATATTAGCAGTTCAAACAAAGGGTAGGTTGTGTTTTCTATTCTCTGTGCTTATAGAAGAATTTATTGTGCTGCAGAATTGACTGTTTTGAGTCTAGCAGACAGGATAACAGGTTGTCTCCTAGACGATCGCATTCTTTATGCTGGCTACACTCACATAGCCATCAGCAGCATTTTATTTTCCTGCAAGAGGTTTTTCTGCACACTGTGGCCATTGAATCTGTGAGCAAACATAGCAGTGGCAGTAAGTGCCCTTCAGAAAGGTTTGGCAAATTCACTTCTTCAGGATTTGTCTTCCGGCTCAGGCATGATTGGTGCAGTGGCATTCCTGGCTACATGCTGGAATTTCAGTCCGTGGTACAATGCTTACTGGTTTCTCTTCCTTGTCTTGAAAACCTATTCTCTGCCTATGGGAGGATTTGCTGTTGCTGAGCTGTATGATACTAATCTAAATGTGTGCATTATAGATAATGCTCCTACGTTTAGCAGTGATGAGCAGTGTTCTGGCAATTTTCCAGTAATTGTAGAGAAAACATGTTCTAATAGCAGGTTTCTGTAGCATTTTGGTCATGGAAACTTTAATCTTGCTGTCTGACATATTAATTCTGATGAACAGACCTTGAGAAATGTGTCAGATTGTTCTATGATAACTTTACTTGCATCAGAAGGTTCGAACCCCTGGAACATTCTGTCATTTTAACCTCCCTAAGTCTGGACAAATAAGTCATACCTTGATTTCCTGAACAGCATGCTTGGCTTTTCCAAAAGCCATTTTCCCTGGAAAATGTTTGTGCTTTATTTGCTGTGTTTGTTCATTCAAAAAGAAATCAGATTCTACCTCCTTCTCAGAACAGAATTAAAATAGCCCCCCTACCCCGTTTTGTTGTTTGTTTGTTTTTTTTTTTGTTGTTTAGTTTCCGCTGCTCGTATTCAATTAAGTTGAAGAGGTAAAGTTTTTGTAATAAATTGTTCCCATTTTTTATTGTCTTTACAGTAAAGGAAGCTTTCAATAATGTACTAATTTTTAATGATACCTGCTTGAAATGGCAGAGAAATGTCAGGGGAACTGATGTGGAAGACAGATATTCGGTAAGTGTATTTTGAATCTAGAAAACAATTGTAGCGATCACCTATGTGAAAAAAAAATTCAGACACTCACTGCTAGCAGTGTTCCTCATTCTAATAACAGCTCATAAAACCTCAGGGAGTAAGCTTGCACAGCAACCTTCAGCAAAGAAAGAAGCCACTATCCTCTTTTGTACTCTCCTATTTCTTGTTTATTTTTTCCCCCCTATTCTACTCTATTTTGCCCTTCCTATGCGTACTTTCAGCTTTGTCATGTTCAGGGCTCAGACAGCTTTATTCCAGTTCCACAAAGACAGTCCACTGCCTGGTGACAAGTCTTCAATCTTCTCTCATCCCAGGAGGGCATTTCTACATGAGCTGTCTCTGCCAGGACTCTTGACCATCTGCTGTTGTCTCAGATATCTGTGCTGAGGTGCTCAGAGATAATCTAGAAGCACAAGATCTATTTAGAGGAAAATTAACACATTATTAAAATACAGCAGGCATTTTAGTTTTCATTAACAGTAATGGTCATGAGAGGTCTTAATAATTTCATGATAATTTGGAACATCAACAACAAAACAAATACACACAAAATCCAACTGAAACAAAAAAAAACACAACAACCCCATGTCTGTAAGTTTGCCTGGAAACAGAGCTGTCTGTAAGCAGATCCTGGAGAGGGTATTTAGCATTTTGACATAGGTCAGAATGACTTGATTTTGACTTGCTGTTAGGGTCAGGCAAGCTGTTCATGTGAGGTTACTTCTGTAACTTTTCACCATTTGGGTGTACAATAGTGAAAATACACTATTACTGGAAGCCTGCATGTTAGCAGGAAATCAAGACTTAGAGGAAACCACATTATAATAAAAAAGAGGCTAGACTAGGAGGAGAAGAAATGAAAGAACTAGGACAATGTCAGAGATGGTCAAGAGGGACTGCAATTCCTATCAAATTTAGGAAACATTTGAATTTGAGTAACTGTCAGTGCCAACATTTTTTGCAGTCTCTATGCAGTGGTGTGTTTTTCTGCTCTTTCTTCTAATTTAGAGCATGACATGACTGAATGCAAGTGATTTTTTTTTTTTTAAACATTGGAATTTCCATGCTGTGATTGTTTCGTTACAGTTTCATGTGCAAGGCCAGCGTTGGTATCAGAAAGAGTTCTTTCATGAAATGATCTTCGACCTTACTACACACAAGCAGGCTCCAGAAGTTTGTTTTGATTTGCAGCCAGGCACCAATTACTCTGTTAATATTTCCATGGCAGCTTTGAATTTTTCATTGCTTGTTTCCATAACAACACAAATCACAGGTAAGTCCTGCCGTTTATGTATTTATAAAAGCACCTACTGGGTCTGCGAGGCTCAAGTGAAACAGCATGGTTGACTTAGTATTGTATGGTGGGTTGTTAAAGTGCTCTTTCCACGCTCAAAATTTTCTGCTGTTTGTTTTCACAAATTTCATATTGTTAATAGTCCAGCAGCAGAAGAGGGAGAGAAATGAGGGTGGAGTGTTTGGCACAGCAGAGATAAGGATGGTTTGGTGGGTTAGACAGAAGATTGGTATCTAGAGGAGCCTTCATTGTAGAGGCTAAGTCACTTTTTCAGTAGAAGTTCTCTCCACTGTGGAGATAGTAGCACAACTACACTTCCTATGGGTGTTTTTAACAACAGATTCTCACTAAAGTCTGCAAGGATCCAAAGTGCATAGAGTCCTGCAAGTACCTCAGACAGATACCTTAATCTCTAATTAGTAGAGTACAAAACATGAAAGGCATTTGAGCAAATAACATTCTGTAGGGAGAGTCTCAGCTTCACTATTTAGCAAGATATTCTTATGGCACTGAAATGCTACAATAAAAACTGTGTGTCATTTTTTAGCTCTTTTTTTTTGTTTAGAACAGTTTTACACAATCCCAGTGCTGTCAGATTTTTTGTATTAGGTTGTGAAGTGTAGTGTTTGGTGCTAGTATCATTCTTCGCATTGGGGCCACAAATTGGAACGGCAAGAAACATGAAAATTCTCTGAATGCCTTTAACTCTGATCAGCCACTAGATGGAACCAGTTCTCTTCGATTGCTTACGAAGTCCACCCACCATGGGATTGTGATGGTTTTGAAATGGATAAATGACCATATTTTTAACAGTGAATGTAAAGTTTTTAAGTGTCATGAAAGGCAGAACATCCCTTTAAACATCTTTAAGTTTCTTAAAGCTACTGTTTAGGATATACAATGACCTGGGGGTTTTGTGGGGATTTGGCAATGAAATTACACAATTAGTTTTTGGAAGTTGACTTGCTGTCACTCAGAAGTAGCATCCATGAGTTCATGAGTATATGTAGCTTTGTATAAGCTAATAAGCTGTCTCAGAATTTGGTTGACTGAGGTAATTTTTGAATACATACTCAGAGTAAAGATATAGCTCTGTACTCTTTCATCCTGTGATATTTCCTAAACTCTGCAAGATTGCATCATGTCACTTACTCAGCAGAGCTCTAGAGAGCACTTTGCAGCAGGTGCTATGTGAAGTGGTATTCGTGCAGCTGGCATGTTTCCCTCTCTGCTGACTTAGTGCTTAATAAATGTACATGCACAGCCCCAGAAAATGTCTTCATGTAAAAGTTAGGTCACTTAGAAGATCCTGCTATGCGAGCCATTTTGTATCTGGTAGGTAGTTTTTTCAATAAGCAATAAAAGATAGGTGCTGTTCTGTCATTAGGAATCTTCATCCAAAACTTGTCATGCAGACAATTCATATTGTGGGTTTTTCTTTTTAATAGAAGCCAAAAAATAAAAATAGGTGTGTTTTTTTTTTTTTTGGTGGTTGAAATTGAGTGAAAATTAAAAAGCTAGCAGTGATCATGCTGCAAAGCTCACCAAATAATGAGAATTTTCAAAAGTGTTGAATTTGTTGCTATTTCAGTTTAACTAAGATGAAAATGATAGAGTTAATATAATTTTTCTGGCAGTGTCCCTTTGACTTCTGTGCCTTATGTTTTGGGAATTGCATTATCTATACAAGCAACTTTATTTATATAAAAGTAGTTTTAATTTTAGAGTAGGCATATAATTTGCTTCTTCATTTGTCCAATTATTTTGTAATCATGTATGTTGTTATACCAGATGGTTGTGTTTCCATGGTGGGTGGAATGATCTCATCTGCCACCTTAAGCCTGAAACGTGTTTTTTGGCTCTGTTGGGTTTCTGGCTAAATGGTACTGTATAAGTGTAAGATATTCCTGAAGCAAAGAGGCTCTAAGGAACCTGAGGCTTACAGAAGTGTTTCACTGTTAATGTACTGGAGGTGGCCTCATTCGTTGTCCAAGGTTTCATACAGCATCCTTTAACAAATGCACCATCAGTTGGTCTGTTTCCCCATCTGGGGGCAAATCCAGATGTTGCGCCTCCTTGTCTTCCACATGCTTCCCACATTTTGAGACTTTGGGAAATCTTGACTGTAGAGTTTGAACTGCTGTGAAGAGGCATGTCCCAGGCAGTTGAATGAACACTGCCTAAGAGACTTAATTTCCTGACAAGGATAGACATCTGTAAATTATTAAAGACTGCTGCAGAATACAGTAAGCATGTAAATGTTAGCCATAAGTCTTTGCCTTTTTTCAAAAAGGAAGATTTGAAAATGCATGTTAAGAAAGCTATTTCTATATGCTGAATATCTGTATCTACATTTGTATCTCCTTTGAATGAGGATATGTTACATCCATAGTATTTCTAAGGGAAAAAAGCAAGCACATGGGACTTAAAAGCCTGCTTTTATCCCTGGCAAGTAGCAGCCTTTAAAAATAGTTCCGTGCTGAATACAAAATTGATGTTGCCCATCATCTTGTGGATGGTAAGTGTACTCTAGCAAATGCTTCATGGATCATTGAAATTCTACTCCTTTCATACTTCCAGCAACAGGCATCTTGCACAGTCTTTTATGTTGTCTTAGCTTATTTTAGACAAGCTCTCAGCACCTCTCTACTTAAGACATCGAGTCAACTATGAAAAATGATTACACAATGATTATATTGTAGTTGTAAAAAGATGGTAGCAAGTTTGTCTTTTAAGCAAGAGGGTTCGTGTCTGTTTCCAAATAAGGAAAAGAGTGTCTTGTGGGTGTACTTTTTCATTCATTACTTCTGTTGGGATTTACTCACACATGGCTTTGTTCCTTTTCCTTTGTGAAGACCATTTGTTAGAGGTTTTCACATATAAATTTAAAAAGACATAATTTTGAAACCACTTTCAAGTGTTTGAAAAACCAAATAATAGAGAAAGATGTAATGCTTTTGCTTCTAATATCCTAAAAGAAACTTCTTCAGTTGAGCTGTTTTAAAATACTGTTGATGTTTGAATCTGTTTATATCTGCAGGATATGTATCTGCAGGCCACATACTCTTGTGTGTGTATACTCTCTCTCTTATTATGAACACATAAGTCAGAAAGTAGGCTTGCAAGCAGAGAGTCTAGAAAGTGACTTGAATTAGAATTAATTCTGTCATGTACTGAGTATAATCTTATGGAGCCCTGCACTTTCATCTGAGTTTGTGAGAAACATACTACATTATAGATCAGGTTGCGATGACTAATTTGTTTGCTTGCCCATAGATGTACACACAAACAGAAAAGATGTTATTGTTCTGCTCTGTTTGTATGATGAAAAAGATTTACCCTCATCCTTTCATAGGAGGACTTCTTTAAAGTCTGGGAAAAGATGGACAAAACAAATTACTCTGCAGTGAGGAAGTGAAAGGCTGTTGGAGAGCTCTTAGCCTGAGATTTACTCTGACAGCATATCATGTTCCTTCAGAGAGACAGTCCATAATAGTGTGCAGCTTCAAAGCACCAGTATTGCAGAGGAGGGAGTTTCTGATTTATGTAATAGCGAACGTGAGGTGATTAAAACCTGAGTCTGGTTTATTTATTTTTATTTTTAATGTAAGGAGGAAATTAGCTGCCAATCCTGTAAACACTTTCATAGAATCATAGAATAGTCAGTGTTGGAAAGGACCTTAAGATCATCAAGTTCCAACCCCCCTGCCATGGACAGGGACACCTCACACTAAACCGTATCACCCAAGGCCTCGTCCAGCCTGGTCTTGAAAACTGCCAGGGATGGAGCATTCACAACCTCCCTGGGCAACCCATTCCAGTGCCTCACCACCCTCACAGGAAAGAATTTCCTCCTTATATCCAATCTAAACTTCCCCTGTTTAAGTTTTAACCTGTTATTCCTTGTCCTGTCACTATAGTCTGTAGTGAAGAGTCCCTCACCAGCATCCTTACAGGCCTCAGTCAGATACTGGAAGGCTGCTGTGAGGTCTCCACACAGCCTTCTCTTCTCCAAGCTGAACAGCCCCAACTTTCTCAGCCTGTCTTCATACGGGAGGTGCTCCAGTCCCCTGATCATCCCCGTGGCCCTCCTCTGGACTTGTTCCAACAGTTCCATGTCCTTTTTATGTTGAAGACACCAGAACTGCACACAATACTCCAGTTGAGGTCTCACAAGAGCAGAGTAAAGGGGCAGGATCACCTCCTTTGACTTGCTGGTCACGCTCCTTTTGATGCAGCCCAGGATCCGGTTGGCTTTCTGGGCTGCAAGTGCACACTGCCGGCTCATGTTCATTTTCTCATCAACCAGCACTCCCAAGCCCTTCTCCGCAGGGCTGCTCTGAATCTCTTCTTTGCCCAACCTGTAGCTGTGCCTGGGATTGCTCCGACCCAGGTGTAGAACTTTGCACTTGGCATGGTTAAACTTCTTAGGGTTGGCATCAACCCACCTCACAAGCGTGTCGAGGTCCCTCTGGATGGCATTCCTTCCCTCCAGCATACCAACCAAACCACACAGCTTGGTGTCATCGGCAAACTTGCTGAGGGCGCATACATTTCATATGTATGTTCATGCATGCACTTTGTATTCCTATGCAGACTGTACAAATGCATGATACTTAAGTTCATATCCATGCCTCCATTATCTAGTCCAGTCCCTCCTACAGTGAGCTGGGACATCTTCAACTAGACCGGGTGGCTCAGAGCCCTGTGAACACAACTTTGAACACTTCCGGGGATGGGGCACCTACCACCTCTGTGGGCAATCTGTGCCAGTGTTTCCTTACCCTCATAATAAAAAATTTATTCTAATACCTAGTCTGAATCTCCCCTTTTTCAGTTTAAAACCATTACCCCTTGTCCTTTTGTAACAAGCCCTGCTAAGAAGTGTCTCCCCATCTTTCTTACAAGCCCCTTTTAAGGCCACAATAATATCTCCCTGAAGTCTTCGCTTCTCCAGGCTGAAAAAGCTCAACTCTCTC